CCGGGGAGGGGGTCCCAGGGGACACGGGGGGGATCAGGGCAGGGGGTCTCGGGGATGGTTTGGGGAGAGGGGGCTCCTTGGGGGTGCAGGGGCTGTGGTTTGGGGTGCAGGTCCCGGGGGAGAGGGGGCTCCTTTGGGAAGCGGGTCCCGGGAGAGCAGGGGGTGGTTTAGGGAGCGAGGGCTCCTTGGGGATTGGGTCCCCCTTTGGGAAGCGGGTCCCGGGGGGCAAGTGGGAGCTCCCTGGAGAAGCAGGGGCTGGGTCGGGGTCGGGGGTGCGGGGGCTCCTCTAGGGACCGGGGGCTTCTTTGGGAAGCAGGGGCTATTTGGGGAGCAGGTCCCCCTTCGGGAAGCGGGAGCTGGCTTGGGGTGCAGGTACCGGGACAGCGGGGACGCCTTTGGGGTGCGAGTCCCCCTTGGGAAGCGGGTCCCGCGGGGCTCCTTTGGGAGCGGGTCCCGGGAAGCGGGGACTCCTTCGGGGTCCCTTGGGACGCGGCTCCCGGGGGTGCGGGAGGCGGGCGGGACCTGCAGCATCGCCCGCCCCGCCCCGGCGGAGCCCCCGCACACCGGGCGGCTCCACCCGCAGCTTCTCCCTCCGCTTTTCTATCTGGGGGGGAGTAATTGGGGTTTTTCCAGCGCGGGGCAGGGCGGGACACAACTTTTCCCCGTTCTTTTTTTTTTTTTTTTTTAATTTGTTTTCCCCCCCCCCCGCTGTTTTTTTTTGGGGAGGGGGGGAGGAGGGAGGGCGCGAGCCCTCCGCGGGAGATGCGCGTACGGGGAGGAAGAAATAAATAAACACACGGCACCCGCCGGATCCGCATCCCGCCCGGGAAGAACAATGAGGGCGGCGGGGAGAGAGGAAACGTGGGGGGGTCCCGGGGCGGCGGAGGGGAGGGGGGGGGGGAAAGGAGAGGGGGGCCGGGGTTGGGGGTTCGCAGAGGCAGCGAGAGGCTGCCCGCTGCTCGCCAACCCACCGAGGGGTTAGCAGAGGAGGGCCAGGGGTCGGGCAGCCGGGCGGGGCTGTTACCTGGGCGCTGCGGAGCCGCCTCCCGCAGCCGGGGCGTCCTCCGGCCGCTGAGCGCCCGCCACCCGGGCCCCCGCACCGGCCCGCTGCCGCCCCGCCCCCGCCGCGCCCCGACCAATCGGCGCGCCCCTCTGGGCATGACCGACGGGCGTTTTCACCAATCAAATACATCCGCCTCCAAGATAGCCCCACCCTCCCTTCCCGCCCCGCCGGAGGCCCCGCCCCGAGGAGTAGTAAGGGCGGGGCGCGCTGTGAGGAGTGACAAGCGATGTGACCAATAGAAATGAGGCACGGCGCGCAGTCCCGCCAATAGCGGCACGGCGGGGGTGGGGCCAAGCGGGTTTTCATCAATGGGAGTGGGCGTGGCCTCCTGCGGCCAATGGGAGGCCGAGGCCGGGAATTCAAACTGACAGGTGGGAGCGTGGCCGTTGGAGGCGCCGGCACCGGGATCGATACCGGGACATCGGGACATCGGGACATCGGGACAGGCATCCCACCCGCCATGACCTCCAGCGGCTGCACGTTCGAGGACCGGAGCGTGGCCGTGCTGTGCTGCCGGTTCTGCCGGCAGGTGCTGAGCTCCCGCGGGATGCGGGCGGTGCTGCTGGCGGACACCGACACCGACCTCTACTCCACCGACATCCCGCCCTCCGGGTAAGCGCCGGGCACGGAGGGGGGTCCCACGGGGTCCCTCCGGAGAGGGGTCGGTGCTGGCAGTGCCAGGGTTCAGCCTGAGCCGGCTAAGCGGGGCTGGCAGGGCTGCAGGAGCATCACCGTGGCTCCGGCACTTAAAAACCCGCTGTCGCCAGCAAAGCAGCCCCACAGGACGCAGTTCAGCCCATCCCTCTATTTCCACTCCCACCCGGCTCTGCTTCAGCCCTGGAGAAACCATGGGATGGCAAGAGCAAGGCTGTCCCCGCCCCCCCCTCCCCCTGCTCCCTCCCCAAATTTAATCCATTCATGGGGATGACACAGTCTCAGGAGCTCCTCCAGCTCCTTGCAGAAGCAGAGATTAGAATTTGAAATAAAGGCCTGCAAACAGAACAAACCTGATCTGTCACTGCTCCCAGAAGGGCTCTCCCCCAAAGTCGGTTTGTGTGCTGCTTTCCCAGAGCAAGATTTGAATACTAAGGAAATCAGGTTGTGAAATGACATGGTAATCAGAAAGTATGGGTTGAAAAGGAGATAAGAAATCAAAGGTTTGGTTTTAAATGTCCCAGCCTTTAAGGGATTGCTCTGTATCTCCGCTGGGATTTGCCAGGAACTGGGGTGATGTTTGTAACCAGATTTCTGACTGTTACTGCCACATAGCCCCAGCCTGCAAGTCTCTACCAAGAGAAACTCAGCTTTTTGAGCTATTTTGAGAGGACTTGTGATATTAAAGCAATGTCACGTGGGTCTCTTCTTGTTTCTGTATGAGTGTGGCTGGTAGCTGGTAGGAAAATATGTGAGCACTTTTAAAACCAGACTATGACCAGTAGCAGCATCACTGGGTTGTGAATTCAGACCTGTGTTGTTCAAGCACTACAGTTGTGATCACAGCCACATCTAAACTCCTGTGTCTCTCCTTCCTTCCCAACCAGGACTGTCGATTTCATAGGAAGCTGCTATTTCACCGAAATCTGCAAATGCAAACTGAAGAACATCGCCTGTTTGAAGTGGTGAGAGCACAGTCCACGACACTGGCGCCCCAGAACACTGCCTAACCTCCCCCCTGCCGACTCCTGCAGTGCAAAGAGTTAAGGGAGGAATGAACAGATTGCATTCCCTGTTGCAGATTTAATGCTCCTCGATAGAAACTCAACCCACCACTCCTGGGCATGGCTGCCAGCCTATTTTCTGTGCAAGTCCCCAGTGAAAATGTGACAACCTTGTCAGGAGTCTGAGTCTATGGGAAAGCTTGTGAGCCACCTGCCTGATTAAATGTCTGCTTCAACACTGAGATGACTGTGTGAATAAGGCCCCAGTAAGACGCAGTTACTCATATTCTAATTAATAGAACATCCTCTTGGCAGATCGAGTTGTTGAGAGCAGATGGAACATGCTGTCACTAAAAGTTCTTGGAGTTCTTTTATCCTCCTTATTAGTGCCTGATATTTAAGAGTGAAAACAACAACTCTCAAATAGCTCACAGTCATTTGAGATGATCCCTTCAGCTTCCTGATCAAGACTTCTACCTTGCTCAGATTTAATCAGTGGGGAGGGTTGTGATAGAAACACAATATTTTAGTTTTCAGAGGGAAGCAGAGACACAGAAATATCTCACCAGAGCACATGAAAGTAGCAAAATGGTTGTTCTGGGCTTCAGTTGAGGAAAGTTGATAAGGCTTCAATATTCTGGCACAGGTTGCCCAGAGAATCCGTGGCTGTCCCATCCCTGGAAGTGTCCAAGGCCAGGTTGGATAAACTTGGAGCAACCTGGGCTAGTGGAAGGAGTCCCTGCCCACGTTAGGGCTGGAATTGGATGGTCTTTAAGGTCCTTCCAACCAAACCATTCCATGGTTCTCAGTCTCATTATTCCCATCACTGATTCTCTCCTGTGCACGGGGCTTCTGTACAGGTGGGTTTTGTGTGTGATGAACTTCTGTGCTGATTCCAGTGGAATCACAGGCCTTCCAAAAAAAAAAAAAAAAAACACACCAGCATCTGTTGGTATGTAAACTAATCTGGATTACACAATTTAGGTTACTAATGGTTCTCTATGCCAAAGATCTGAAACTCAGATATTCTGTAACTCCTGACAGATGTTCCCTAAATATTTAAGATACTTGTTTAACTACGTTCCCTTAACTTAATCAAAACAGGAGCATTACATAATGGTCTGGTACCGTGGCTATTTAACATCAGTTTGGGCTGGAAAAAGCCACCAACATCTGTCTTTTCATCAGCCACTTGTGTTGCTCATCATTTCACTTGCCTTTCCAGTGGGAACGTTGTTGGTTACCACGTGATTTCTCCCTGCAAACCCTGCCTGTTGTCCTGCAACAACGGCCACCTCTGGATGTTCCACAGCCAAGCAGTCATTGGCATCAACAGGCTCGACCCTTCTGGTAAAGAACCCATTTGTTTCCTTCCCTTCCCTAAAATCCTGAATTCTGATTCTGAGGAGGCAGCTCGATGTAGTTCTAGCATATGGAGGGAGGGTGACATATGGAGGCACAAGGAAGTGTTACTGCACTGCTAATCTGGAAAACTGCTTGGGGTGGGGGTGGGAGGAAGGGTGGTTGTAGCTGCAAATGAAAATCTGAGTGTAAATTGATCTCCACCAGAAAACTTAAACCTCCCCCCTTCTGTGGAAGCGAGTGGGGGGGGTTTTTCTGCAGCGCCGCTATCACCAGCACAAACACAGCTATTTATAGTGGCATGTGTGGCTTTACTGGGCCCTCAGGCAGCTGGCCAAGGGACACTCTTTTTTTTTTTTGGGGGGGGTGAGTCATGTTGTCACTCTGACCCTCGCCGGCTGAATCCTCAGGAGCTGGAGCTGCAGCTTCTTCAGCTGGGGGCTGGTGGGATGCCAAGAGTCTGGCAGGGTGGGAGTCCTCAGGAACCCACAGCCCTCTGACAAATCCCTCCTGCTGCTCACAGAGGGGACTGACTCGCTGCCTAAACCTCTCAGGGTCACCTGTGCCTCTCTTTTTAAAACTAAACCAGCCACGAGGGGGTCATCAATAGCTGCGGGAATTAGTTATAGAAACACTTCAGCGGGTTTGTTCTTTGAATTGGGACGTAAACAACACGCCAACACTCCCAAGATCACTCGGAACACAAACAGAAAATAGACATATTTATCAGGAACGTGACTTAACGGGTTTTGCAAGGATTATTTTCTCTCAAAATAGACAGTAGTGAAACTTAAAATTAAGCTCACAACCCAAAAATACCTTTTTTTTTTTTTTCCCCTCCCCTCCTTTGTCTCCTTACCTCCTCCCCACCAGGTGTGAATGTGTTGCTCTGGGGCAACTTGCCAGATTTGGAGGAAAGCACGGATGGAGATCCATCCTGTACCTCTGAGGAGGAGTACATCAGATAAATGGGATTATCTACAGCCTCTTCCCTGGATTTGTTGCCGTTTGGTTTGGATTTTTTTTTTTCCTGATGGCCCAAAAAAACCCTCGGAAAATCTGGAAAACCATCCTAAAAAAGGAAAGCATCTTCCTCCTTCACTGCAGCCTTCCTTGGACTCTTGAATCTTCCAGCTGTGGAACTCCTGAGATACTCCTTGGTTAGACCTGGAAATGCAATCAGAAGGTGCATTTACTGAGGTCTAGATCTGTTTTGCTTTTTATACTGCAGCCTCAACATCTTCTTAACTGTATTTTTTTCTTTCCTAAAGCACTTTTCACAAGGCAAAGTCTTTCAGCTTTTAAAACTCTTCAGAAATAATCAGTCTGGTTGACGGGGGTTCCGACAGAGACTTCCCATCTTCACCTGGCAATGCTTTCAGGATCTTGTCTCCAGAGAGATTGATCTCATATTTTTCCCCCCCTTAAATTCTGCAGTTTCTTGATGTCTGATAGAGCTTCGAGGCTACACTGGGGTTTTTCTTCAGGTCAGCAATAAAACCCATCCTGTTTTACACATTATTTTTTTTCCCTTTATGGGGTAGGCATCCCTCCAAAACACAACTCAGCCACGCAATTGGGTCTTTTTAGGGAAAGAAAAAGAGATCAGGTGAAATATTTGGTGTTCAGGCCTAACTTTACATCCCAAGGCATAAAGGCCATCTGGTTCCTCCAAGGAATGAATTCAGAGCTCGTTTTCTGAGTGGTTACAACCATAGTATTTAACTTCTGAACTAAATACTGGCCCCTTCAGCTACTCACCTGAAGGGTCGCCAGTGGAAAATTCAAGATAAAATCACATAAGAGAACATTTTTAAATCTGGATTGATGCTGAATAAATCATTCTGTAGCCTCTTGTGATACTTGAAAGGGGTGCAATAAAGACAGATCTGAATTGTCTTGGTATTTTTACTGCATGTTATATATTTCTTAATTAATAGCACTACCTCTTCTGCATTGTTGAAATGTATATGGGTAAATATGTATATGTATGTGTATGTCTTGTTTTGAATTCCTGTGTTATGTCTGCTTATGAAATAAAAGCTTTGGACTACAGAGTCTTCAGGGCTGGAATAAACATGGATGTGTAATGACATCAGATAATCCAAACAATGAAATAGGGTCTTGTATTAAAATAGTAAAATAATTAGGTTTTTATCATTATGAATTTGTTTTAGACAACCTAAAAAAAAAAAATCACTTTCCTTTTAGGTTGGCAAAGCTGGTAGTTTCTCAGTCTTAGTCAGTTAACTCTTCTGCAATTCAATATTCAAATTTTTGCCAGGTTCCTGTGCTGCATGAATCTGATCACGACATGACCACAGTATTAAGCAGGCAAGGTGACATCTCAAAAGATTTTTCCAACAGGATTCAAGAGCTAAAGATACATCTGATTGTTTTTGCATAAGTAGCACAACAGTTCAAATATATTCCTGCTTATTGCCAGTCCAACACTTGTCATTTCTTACCTTCCTGATTCCCAGTCAAGTCGGTGTCAGGGCAGAGCTGTTCTCCCACGGGGGAGCAGAGGACTGTAATTTCTTCCCATCAGGTCCATAATTCTGTTTTTGCTCCCCCATCTGTACACAGAGAACTGGAAGTTCTACTCTGAACCACTTTAATTGCACAGGCCTGTTTGAGCGAGTTCAGCCCATCAGCTTGGAATTAAAAGTGAGCCAATTTTTAGGTGAGTTCAGTCCCTTTCTGTTGACAAAGAAGCTGTAGGTGTTAAATACAAAGTAAGCAAACATCCCCTGCTGCCCCACTGTCCTGAATGTCAGCAAACAAACTAATCGTGTATAGGGCTACTTCTTTCTGTCTGAAATTAAAGAGAGAACTGAGTAGGCAGCTCATGGGAAAGCCATAGCAGCTTATTCCCAGAGCCCTAAGGTTTGGGGTTAAGTTTCCAAGGATCACCCTGTGCAGGGAGATATTTAAACAGGTTCACAGATAGATCTAACACCAGACAACTGGCACAAAACCAGATCAATATTCCTAGAAACGCTCCCAAGCACTTCAAAACACCCAAAGCTGCACTTAAAATCAAACAGTTGGGGTCTCTCCTGTGTTTTCTCTCTATTCTTTGACACACAAGATCTCTGTGTTGTAGCACAACCCTGGAATCTGAAAGGGATGGTTGCAAATCATCTGGTATAATAACGGACCAAGAAGGATGATGCCCAGGATGGATTTATCAGCAGGATTCAACTTCCTGATAGATCTGTGGTCAGGCTGATCCAGGAGAAGCTGGGCAGCTATTCTTCCTCCTGGTGAGGATTCCACAGGGAAATTTTAGGTGATCTTTGCTGTGCAGCCACCGGAGTCACAAGGCTGAAAAACAAGAACTGCCTCCTAAGGCTTCTCCTTCTGCTCCTCGAGGTACCCCAGGCAAGCAATTAAAGAACTCCAGTGTCTCTAATCAGACCTGGGTTTATTTAAGAAAGGGACTGAACACCAGGCAAAAGGTCTTAAATTTGAGACTCCCAGTCAGCTCTTCTGCAAGACTCCAAATTTTCCTGGCACTAAGATCGTTCCCTGGAGCTGATCCCTGTGTGCCTGAGGATTGGATCTGCCATCCCATGTCCCAGACCTGATGCCAGCAGCTCTAACATCTTGTGTAATACACAGACTTAGACTTGTAGGTTCAGGGTCATGGGCACTGAGAGTAGAATCCCAAAAGCCACTGAGTAAAAAAAATAACTTTGATTTGATTTTTGAGTCTCAGGGAGCCGTGTAATCACTCTGTTATTGATGGCCACCCCTTTTTATTTTTCCCTGCAACGCACAATATTAGCTGGAGGGGTAGGGAAAAGGCATAGCAAGACAGTGATAAATTGATACTCCTCCATGTTAAATAAGACCTACCAGAAAAAATTAAAAAAAAAAAAAAAAGCACATTTAAATATTCCTCCTTATTCCAGTGCAGCCTAATGCCTAATCACAACCTCACATTTATGTAACACCATCCATCCCAAAGTGCTCTCCAGTGACAAGCAGGAATTCTGGAGTGCCAGGCTCTGACTCTGAGGAAGAGTCCTATGACAAGAGGCAGAAATTACTGAGCTACCCCTCGTCCTCTGCTCCTCTCCCTGGCGAGCAGGAGCTGCCACGCTTTTGAAAGTGAACTAAAAGGGTCATTTATTACAAAAGCACCCAATTTGGCATGAGAGGTCACTGTTCCATATTTTATTACGTTTGCAGTCTGTGTGGTTTCTGAGAGCATATCCCAAGGAACAGCCAAGTAAACAACCTTTGTGTGCTATTATTTGGATTAAGGGAGTGTCTACAGGCCGGTGTAGCACAACCACCACGGGGCTATTGTGCAAGAAACTGTGAGCACAGGGACTCAGGGGAGCTGCTGGGAAAACAAGGCAGCCAAGGGGGGTAAGGAAAGGCACCACTGGCTGTCAGAGATCAGAGGTAAAGCCTGAAGAGGAGACTCCTTAGTTCCAAGACTACCAGAGACACCAAGCCAGGCCAGTTCCTGCAGCTATGGATCACTTCTTCCTGTTCCAACAGGAATCTGCAAGTCTATGAATAGTCAACTCTTGCACAGACTCCATCCCAGAATCACAGAATGGTTTGGGTTGGAAGGGAACTTAAAGATCCTCTCATTCCAACCCCATCATCTCATGCTTAAATCATCTCACACCTAAAAGGATCCTGCTGTGTGCCAGGGCTTCTGGATTTCTGCTGCATTATCAGGTTTTCCTCTTGCTTTGGCACACACAGAGGATATACAGCCTCTAGTCAAATACCTGTAAAAAGCCTACAGAGGAAGCAGGTTATTCCAAAGCTGTGCAGATCCAGCATTCCTAGAACAGGAGATGTGCTCTTCAATTCCTGCAGGGCACAGGAACCACCAGAGAGACAAGCAGGGTGCCTGCCTCGAACATCCCCACTGCAATCAACTCCAAGTTGATGCTGATGCACCATCCCCCAAAATTCCCTCTTCTCAACAGGAAACATCAACCCTGCTGCTCTCCCAACAGGCATCAGCATTCCCAAGCAGGCAGGGGGACATTTCAGCCTGTATGACACGAGCTCAGCCAAGAGAGCTGCACTCTGTTGAGTTCTCTTTTGAAAGCAGGGCTCCCATTTTGGACAGCAAAGAGGGAGGGGGAAAAAAAAATTACCCAACAGGGAACAAAGCTGGTCAAATAGAAGCCAAACAAAATCTCTGGTGCTTCCCTTCTCGTGTCATCTGAAGGCCGACAGCTTGATGTCTGTGGGTAATGCCACACGAGGGAAATTAGCACCACCAGCACTCCCTGGCACTGCCATCTGCACGTCAGCATGGGGAGAAGCTTGTGCAGGCACAAGGGGAAAGCCAGACTGATTTAAAAAAAAAAAAAAAAAGACTTGATCTTCTGCCTTTCTCTGACTTACACTTATTTCCTGGAGGAAAATGCTAATTAAAAATAACCCAGTACTGCTCCACCGTAGGTGCAGCCACACTGGGATCCTTCCCTGCTGTGCCATGGCAGAAGCTGATTAGTTCATCCCACTCCAGCATATGGCCTGCTTTGGAAGGGAAAATTTCCACTAACAGAGGAGATAACACTTGAAATACAGCTGGTTTGGGACTCTCATTCTAATTTACCCAAAGAGAACTTGGTCGTGTGTCCACTAGGCCCATCCAAGAGTTCCTGACACAAAGCAAAGCTAACAGGAATTAAATTTCAGAGAAATGAACCTTCACAAATGGTGTAATTAAGCAAAATCCCGTTTTAGGCTCCTCTGCTGAACACAAACCCCAGGCCCTTTGAGTTACTGAATTTTTCGACCTCTTTAGAGCCCTTTGCAGTGACGAAAGAGCAGTAGATGGTTTCAGATCCCCCAGAATACCAAAGCTGCAGTAGTTTCCTCACAGGGTGATCAACTAAACCAACACAATCAGAGAATTATTTGGCTAAGAATGCAGATGGAATGACACAGAGTCACATTTGAGGGAAAGTTGTGAAAGCTCCTGCAGATTCAGTCTAGCATCCACTCATATTTAATGAGGGCCTAAAAAGTTTGGAAAAAATTAAGCA